GAAGAAAGTGGATGTCATTTCACATTGAAAATATAATTTAAATCCACTGGTAACAAGCCAGTAAAATAAAAAAAGAGTAAATTTTTGCATTTTATGAAAATCTTCAAAATGAAAGAAAAAAAATTCAATGCACTTTCTCAAGAGTCTCATCTCATATTCTTACTCAGTGCTGTCAACTCCATCAATTTTATTGTGACCATAGTTTGCAATGAACTTTCCTGACTGAATCATCTTTTCTGACAACCTGGTATTTATAAAATTATGTTGTCATTAGAGAATATGAAGGTATTTTAACTGTATCAACAAAGCAGAGAAAGCTTACGAAGTTGAACTTTCAAAAATTTATGAAAATTGAAGACCAATGCCGGCAGTAAAAATGGTTTGCAGTATTTTTTGTTGTTGTTGTTTAAATGCCTCGTATTTTGGGAGAGGTCTGTCTTGGGTGTTTACAATAGTTGCACCTTACAATACCGGATTTAGTTGTGCCTGGTGGAATTTCAATTGCAGTCAGAGAATTGCAGAAGAACCTCAGTTTGAAAGTACCTCTGGAGGCCAAGTCCAAGCCTTTACCCACAGGAAGGCCCACTGAGGTAGACAGACGCTGTCTGGTTGAGTTCGGAATATTTTCAAGGATGGAGATTGCACAGCATCTGCAGGAGCCTGGTCACTGTGAAATTTTGTTATGAAACCTAGCTAGAATTTCCTGTGTTCCTGTTGCTCTCATCCTCTTGCTGTGCACCTCTAACAAGGGTCTGGCTCCATTTTCCATGACACCCCATCAGATAGCTGAAGGAAGCAGGAAGATCTCTCCCTAGCCTACTCTTAGTCTCTCTTCATGGGTCAGGTGCTCCAACCTTTAGCTACCTCGGTGGCCCTGCTCTGGGGTGAGTCGTAACCTGCTTCATGAAAAGCACAGATAAATTGGTAGACAAGAGGCCAGAAGTCAGAGGCTCCAACCAGCCATGCCTACTCCTGTGACAGGAAACTGCTACAGGCATGAAAGGCTGCTTCAGCTGAATTCCCCACTCAAGAATTTTATTGCTTGGCTGCTGTTTAATTATCTATTAGTGTTTATAATTAGCCAAGACCTGGCTGGATGAGGTTGCTGGCCTTTTGCCAAGGTTTCTGTTCTCTAAATGACACCTGGTACGATATGGAGTGGGAAAGCAATGGTACTGGGTTACAACAAGTAAATTTTATTTGAAAATGTCTCTCATTCTAAAACTGGATTTGTTTGGTGTGCAAACCTTGGTGGTGAGCCAGAGTATAAATGGGGTGTGCAAATTAGCTACAGAATCCCACAGCAAATGATGGAGTCTTCATTTGCTTTGGAAAGAGATTCTCTGTATTTCCCTTAGACTGAATATGCACGAGGACATGAGGACATTACTTATCTAGTGCTAGCTCATGAGATTGAACACTGTCCCAGTCATATGCTCCCAGACATCTTTTGGATGCAATCATTCAGTGGACATAACTTGCTTTTTGAGCATGGTTTGGACATAAAAGACAAGTTTGGAAGATTTCAATGGCAATTGACAGATCTTTCTGCAGTCTGATCAATGTTTGCTCCTATTGATTCAGCAGTGATTTTTCCTGGAAGAGTCTTCTTTATTTATGAACATCTGCACAAATGAAAACTGTTGAGGGATTAAAACCAAAAGAACCCAGACTCCTTCTGTAAGGATATATATTTGCTATACAGTCACACTGGCTCCCCTCCCCTCCAGAGGGGTCTCCAATTTGGGTAGCAGTCCAAATGGCTCTAAATATAAGTGCTGATAGTGGTACTTCAGGCCTAAGGGAACCATCAAATTTGCAATGGCTTTCCTCAAACTGAGCAGCCTGAACAGCACCTTTTTCCTCTGGTTGAAGGGATGTCATCTTTGGCAGATTTTTCCCTCAGATGATGGATCAGGGTGGGCTGATATGTAATTCTTGGGTTTTTTTTAAAAGAAAATGTTTTGGTGCTTAGTGGAATACATGCACATAGACACTGCATGAGGGTGTGGAGTTTCAAACTCAAGTTATTAAAACGTGAGGGTACACACTACCCGTTCTTTCCCAATGAAGTACAAAAAAAACGGCATGAAAGGGAGCCATAAATAGCCTTTCTGAATGTGGTTATTACTGCAGTACAC